GCTCATTAGTCTTCAATAGTCCTACACTATTGCCAGCCCACACACATGACATGAAAGGGATATAGGCCCATATGGAATCCACACAAATACACGGTCCGTGTCTTGTCCTACAACTACTAACATTCAACCCGTTTTACTAAAACGTAATAAATATTTAATATCAACTCCACATTTAATAAATAATTCTAATATTACAAACTTATAATTTTTTAAAATTGAATCACAATTTTAACTTCATTTTTGAACTTGGTTTACAAATTCTTACTTCACATGCTTTAGTTCAATGCAATATAGTCGGTTTCTTTTTTCTCATGGTTATTTCCTTACATTGCACATATGTTCTCTTATATTTTCCATCTGGTCTTTTTATTGGTTAAAGAAGCACCCTTTGATTGTGCTTTCTGCTTAAATCTCGACAAACCTTGACACATTTCTTAGGCATTTCTGGTTTGGCAACACATTTCTAAACAATCCATGTGTTTTACTGATCATATTCTTTCCCCACTTACTTGAGGATTTTCCTTCCTTTTCATTTTTCCATTTTGATTATATGTGACACAAAGTTGAAGATTTTATGTATATGGTTGTATAATAAATAGAGACAAATATTATCATAGTAATGAAATGACCAAAATGTTAACTTTTTCCTGTGTGCTCAAAGTTAGACTCTTGAAGATTTTCTAGTACTGGTTAGTGACTCTGCCTCCTTCAAATATATGGGCTCGTGTTGTGATACACTTGTGCTTTTGTGACAACCAACTGTTTTAATCATGTCTTTATGTATAGATTTGCTGAACTTTTACTATAAGAAACTGCAGGCAGCATTATCCTTGCACGTCTCATTAGTCATCGTCTCCATAACCTTTACATGCTTATATTCAGTCTTATTATTGTAACTTCTATTTTCATTACTCAACTTAAGAAACGGCATACTGTTTGTGTTTCATATGAGCTTTTGAAGTCTGTTGAAGCTTGGTGGTGGTTTTCTTGTAGATTGAAATTCTTAGCTAGAATTATAGCATTTCAGTCTTAATACCAGATTTTTTTTTTTTGATAACCGAGAAATCCGTCTGTGACCCGCCCTTTGGACCAATCACAGCCTTCTAAACTCGGTGGATAATGGGCCTGCCCCTCTACCCTTCTCCACTTAAATACCGGGCTTCGCTTTGCATGGTGTGGGGCTTGAACCTGCGACCTAAGCCACAAATCCTCCACCTTTTGCCACTTGAGCTAGGCCTTGGGGGCAGTTAATACCAGAATATTCACTAGCAAGATTTGACTTAAAAGTTTTAATTCACATCTTCACTTCTCTAGCATTGTTTTGGAACATTCCTTTTATTCAACATGCAGTGTGTAATAATCTACATGACCGAATTTGGGTTCTGCAGGGGATATAAGCGATTCTTTAAAAGAACTGCTTTAGAATCATCAGACTACCTGAAGGATGATTGCCTTCAAGTTCATTGCTGTGTTGGTGTAGTGAGGTCTCACACCGAAGGACCTAAAACTTACTCCATCCCTCTATCTCCATCAGATATTGGACTGCATTTTGGACAGCTCCTCGAAAGTGGGAAGGATACTGATGTGAATTTCGACGTTAATGGAGAGGTATTTGCTGCTCACAAATTGATACTTGCTGCAAGGTCACCTGTGTTCAGAGCACAACTTTTTGGTCCAATGAAGGATCAAAATACAGAGCATATAAAAGTAGAAGACATGGAAGCCCCAATTTTTAAGGTCAAAGGCTTGTACTACCTCCCACCCCTTTCCTGCCCTTATCTTTATTTGACTGCTTATAGTGTACTATTATTAACACAATCTGTAAGTTTTCAAGATACCACCTGCTGAATATAATAATCTGCCAAGCTATACTACTACAGAACTTCTCATCCGTCTATTCTCTCAGTTGTCATTGCTTCTTCTATCACAGTGTGATCAGGCAATTTTTTCAATGCTCCATTTATTTGTTATTTTTCTGCCTCTTTCTTTTAGGCATTGATCTGATCCCTACTTTTAGGCATGATCAATGTTCTTAAAGGCTCACTCGAGGCTCTTTTAAGTCTTGAGGTTAGACACAACATAAGCTAGGCATTTTACCTCCCTTTTGGTGCTGTTCCAGTGTAGGCACCGAGGCGCTGAAGGTGCACATCATTGCCTATTTACTATATATTGGCTTGGGTGATACATCAAATCTCAATAAATTATTATGGATGTATTTGTATGGTTAGGAGTAGGAGAATATAAATACATAAAATTTATCTTTACATTTGATTTAGAAATTTAAGTTTGGTTTTGAACTTGATTTATAATTTTTGTTCACATAATGTAAGTGTAGTTTTTCTAATTCCTTTTTATATAATTGTTGTGTAAGTTTATATTTACTTTTTCCTGGCATTACATATTTATTGATTTATTTTTCTTCATTTTTTTTCATTTCTTAAGAACCCGCTCTTGATTACATGCTTTAATTAACATGCATATCTTCGGCTGCGGGTTCCGTTGTCAGAGAAAAAAAATATTGCATATCTGGCAGTCATTGAAGCTGTTTAATTTTGTTATGATATCAACAACAAACTAAGTCGCTGAAAGGATGCAGATAGAGAAGCCATACCTGGAGTTCATTTTTGCACAAACTTTTTTTTTTTGGTTGTAATTTTGATGTGACATTCTCTCTTTTCATTTAACATTGTGATTTAATTTTGCGTTATTTGCTTAATTCTCGTGTATGTTGATGACAGGCTCTTATTCATTTCATGTACTGGGACGTACTGCCGGACATGGAAGAACTCACAGGGTTGAACACAAAATGGGCATCAACCTTGATGTCTCAACATCTGCTTGCGGCAGCTGACTGTTATGGGTTAGATAGGCTCAGGTTGCTTTGTGAGGCTAACCTGTGTGAGGAAGTTGCTATTAATACTGTTGCAACCACTTTAGCCCTGGCTGAACAGCACCATTGTTTCCAGCTGAAATCTGTCTGTCTCAAATTTGTTGCCATGCCAGAAAATCTAAGAGGTTCTCTTTTATCTTCTAATCAACCTATGTTAAAAAAATGTTACATCAAAGTTGGGATTCAGTTCAATTATTTAGTTCAAGTACTTTAGTTTTTGTGGCAAGTTTACATTTATACTTTTCTCACCATGATCTACAAATAATCTCTTCTAAGTATAATTCTTAGAAGATTTAATTCCCCTTTTTAATTTTTTTTCTGTAATAGAGATGTGTTTCATGCGCGTTTAATCTCTCTCAAGTGAAATTTTAGGTCCATCACCTGCCCTCTCCCTCCATTTTTTTGCAGCTGTTTACTAGAATTGGCTATGAGAGTTGTTTCTGATTGACCTTCATTCGCTTGTTTTGAATGTGTTGATGCCCTCCTAAAAGTGATTTTGCTGCCAAAAACATTTTTTGGAAGTAAATTTACATGTGGGGAAATTTTTTACTGCTTCTTTAGAAAAATGTTGTTTCCATGCATATGGTTGAATTGAAGCATTGCAGAAACAAAAGTGAATTTTCATCTGGCTCATACAAGTGCCAGAGTTATGTTATTAATCGGTATTGATCATAGAATCCTTTTAATGCAGCTGTAATGCAAACTGATGGTTTTGACTATCTGAGAGAAAGTTGTCCTCATGTCCTCACAGAACTGTTGGAGTATGTTGCTAGGGTAAATGAACATTCTAGCATCACCAACAAGCTAGGGAATGGGCTTGTCCTTGACGGCGGTGATTTCAATGGTCGACGCGTGAAACAAAGATTGTAGTTGAAGTTGTAACTTCATGATGCAGGCTGTAGTTTGACATAGATGTAAATTTGGGTCTGTCAGTGTCATTGCTATTGTTGTAATCATCTATATATTATCTTGTTCCTAGTAAAAGTTTATTTGTGTATGGTTCGTGCTACTTGAGGGTCTTGATAGACAGCTTCTAACTCTTTGTTCATAAGGTTCTCTTTTACTTCCTTCAGTTATTTATTTGTTAATTTGGCCCTTGATTTTTCAGCTGAACATGTAATTTATTTGCTTTATTTGGTGTATTGTCATTCCATATTTAATTAGGTCTGCATGAATTTTTTTGTATGTCATTTTCTTACGTTTATTAAGTGGCTAAGAGATCTTAATTTCTCCGATTTTTTTTTGCCTTAGCTTAATTTTGAACCAAGCACCTCATAGTTTTACCCTAACTTTATTAATTCAGAACCTTGGTGCTCATCATTTCTTGTGCTTTCTCCTCTCTCTATCAACAGTTTCACTTTACTCCAATAGTTTTTTTTTATCTCAATAAAAGAGAAAAAATAATAATTTTGCAGCAAAAACCCAAAGCTTTTTAATTATTATAAAAAAAAATCATTTAGTCTTTTCTTATGTTTTTCATTTCCTTTATTACAAAAAAGAAAAATAAAACAACACAAATTACATTTATTTTTGGTTGAGTTAAAATGAGAGGAAATAAAATGTTGAACATATTGTAGTGTATTAGTTGGGAAATTTTAAGATTATCTAGATATAAAAAATTTGCAATCTATAGTACTTTTCGTATAGTTTTTTTTGAATATCTAAAATTTATTTTAAATATCAAATTAATGTAATCTAATTTAGCTTTGAAAATTAGTTAAATTGACTCTCGAAAAACGCAACATAACAACCAAAAGAAAGGAGTATGTTTGAGCTTGTTCGTATTAATTTATTATACTTAAATAATTCTATAACACAAACATATCTAGCTGTGACATGATTGAACGTCTATCTATCTCACCACACTCCCTTACTTCTATAAATGCGGGCGAAAGAAATAGATGAGAGCAATAACAAAAAAGTAGCAAAAGATCTTCTAGTAATATATTCAGTTGTTTGATTAAAATTATTTTCTAAATTCTTTTAGAAAGTTTTATTATTTCAATAAAAATTGATATAGATAAAATAACTTTTAATCTATCTTAGGAAAAAAAATAAGTATTATATAAATTATATAAAAAATGAAGTATTTTCAAACAAATATCATACATATATATATAGGTTTTCAAGCAAATTGAGTCCAAATTCGGACGCAGCTAAAGTAGTCTCCCCTTTCAGCTGTACGACGCACTTCCACCTCCGGCGAAATCGAACTGTAAGTTCTCCTCTTTAGATATCTCTGTAACGAAAAAAAACCCTAATTCTTCCTCGTAATAGTTCTGAATTTCTGTTTTTATTGCCATGTTTTGTATTGCTACGCACCCTAAACAAATCCTCGACTTCGATTTTTCAAGTTCCTTTGTGGTTTTTGCTTGGCGTCTTATGGAATAGATTGTAATAGATTGCTTTTTAAGCTGTGATGGTGTGTACTATGCTGGAAATAATCAAGTTTTGTTAATATTTAAGATTAGGAGAAATAAATAAGTCCGTGAAAGATGCTTTTTTTTTTTTTCATTTTTGTTGTTATTTTCCAGAATTTGGGATTGTAGGAAGTGAAAATTTACAGTTGATTTCATTTCCTAATCAACCGAAACAAGTATTTGAATAACGTCCCCTTTATATGCAATTTAGTCTAAACAAATGGGATTTTGAGGTGTGTTATAGTTTGCTATTTTGAGTTTTAGTTTATAGGTTGGGGGCAAGGGTTTGGGGTGGTAAGGGGGTTAAGGGAGATGATGGGCGGAGAGTAGGGTCTTGGAGCATAAGGATGTTGACGGGGAAATCCATAGAGCTCTTGAGGATTCTCAAGAAGTGGAGGGTAACTTGTGTGTGATTTAATACCTGCATATCTCACCTCCAAACTCCTCACAGTATTATGAGCTTTTATAATATCTCTCAGTTTTTTTGAAGCAGATAGCTGCCAAGGATTACAGAGAACACAGTGTGATACTCCCTGAGAGATAAAAATGGTATTATTTTCTGATCCCTCTTTCTTAATGCTGTATGTTCCTCTTTATTCACTCCTAATTTGTATATAATTGGTGTCTGCTTTCATTTCTTCGATTGTTCTAGAGTAGAAAGTTTATTTACCTTATTTGATCAATTCTGATTTGAGTTTTTTTCTCATGAATTTATTTGGTCTATGTTCTAACTTGGTTTTTCCCCTGGCTACCGTGTTTTCCAGTTGTTTTTCTCATACTTCAAGGACCTGGTGGGCAGGGAAGTGACTGTCGAACTGAAGAATGATTTGGCTATTCGAGGAACACTACATTCAGTTGATCAGTATCTCAACATTAAGCTTGAAAACACGAGGGTTGTTGATGAGGACAAGTATCCCCACATGGTAATTCCTCATTCTTTCTCTTGTATCTTTGTTCTTCGTATTTTCTGTTGTTGATTTTATCTATGAAAATATGGTTTATTGCCTATATTTAGTTTCGAGATGCATTACATCTTGCCTCTCTTTCACCTTCTCTTTTTGTGTGTATACGATCTGTTGAAAACCTCTGTTTTTGGTTCTTCCTTTCTCAATTCAAGAATTCTTGAATTAGTTGTTTATGCTTTTGTGGTATGCAATAAAACAAGTGGATATTTTCTCTTCCATAGTACTCCGGAGTTGTGAACCCGATAGTTTTGCTGGAGACTACTAATGTTGATTGTATATGTGAATCGAGAAGGTCAATTTGATGTATTAACTTCTCTGTGTGTATATGATTCTGGCAACTAATGCTCACTGTGATATGGGATCCTTAGTCTATATGGGATGAGGTTTTCCTATCACTACGACTATGATTATCTGCGGCATTCACCTAGAGATGTTTAAGCTCAGTGTTCTTTCATAGTTGTTGTTAGCTATGCTATGATCTATTCACCTTTCTGTTGAATGAAGTACTAATGTTATGTAAGGAGGTCTACCTTTACAGTCTTTGATCCTTTGGAAACTGATAATTTGTTTATTACAAGGCTAAGAAGTTGTCAGTTTGGGAATTAAATATCACTGTAGCGGTGCATTGCAGCAGAGAATCTACAGCTAACCTTAAATAGCAGATTATTAGCATGTCCTCACCTGATAGTTGCTCATAAGTTGAGACCTTGTGCTGAACCTTTGCTCTAATGCATGTGGTAGAATGAAATATGATGGCCTATGATAGCCTGCGTGGAGGAATAACTCCAATAAAAATACTTGGATGAAGCTTTGGAAGTCTTAGAAGGCCCATGACAAGATCTCAAATAAGAAACTTCAAAACAAGCTCATTGATTTTAATTGCAAAGACGAAGTGCCTAGTATTGGAAGAAGAGCTCAAGCCAAGGAGAATCTTTTGTCTATAGTGTTATAGCTATTTTATTGGCTGAATTGAGGTCCAAGATGAGGTAGGATATGGTGGTCAAGAATCAGCCGTTGAAGGAGGTCCATATCATTTTAATTTTCGATCAATTTAGCCACCTAAATTGTGCCAAACTTGCATCCCATGAATCTCCCACTTAGGCCACATTTTAGCCTAAATGGCCCAATTAGGCGTGCAAATTGATAGGAGAGTTGCTGCCCAAGTTGCTTGCAAGTTGTCTTCAAGATTCCAAGAGTTTCCTTAATTTTAGGCACTAATTAAGGGAGCCTAGCACATGGTTCCCTAATTTAGCCTAAATGGCCCAATTAGGCGTGCAAATTGATAGGAGAGTTGCTGCCCAAGTTGCTTGCAAGTTGTCTTCAAGATTCTAGGAGTTTCCTAAATTTTAGGCACTAATTAAGGGAGCCTAGCACATGGTTCCCTTGATTTTAGGAATTACCTAAACCTTCATATTTTATCTTAGTGGAATAATAACTAGGATAAAATATGAAATGTTTGACTAATCCTTAAAAATAGGGAAACCATGTGCTAGGCTACCTTAATTTCTTAGGGCTCGTTTGGTGTGAGGGATTAGAAATAATAGAGATGGGATAAGGAAATAGTGATGGGATAAAAAAAAATTATGTTGTTTGGTTGGCAAGTCCGGGATAACTTATCCCGGGATTAATAATTAGTACCGGGATAAGTTATCCCTCCCCATGGGTGGTATAGTAATCCCGGGATAACTTATCCCGAGATAAAATATGTAAATGACAAATATGTCCCTTTAAATTCTTTTTATACATCATTTTTTACATTTATGTATATTTACATTTTTTTGAATACCATGTATAATAATATTTACTACTCCTTATTTTTATGATAATTATACATATTTTTCTATTAAAAATTATACTATATAAATATAATTTTTATTTATGAATTTATTTGACTAATTCTTATGTTTATTTTATTTTGATTTCTCATAAATTTTCTTCTCTTTAATAAACTTAAGAGGGAAGTTCTATTTTTAAGCTAAATAAGAAAAAAGTTATATTTTTAAATACACATGGTACTTATCATGGGAATACATAAACAAAAATATTTAAGTTAAATAAAATAAAAGTTTTATTTTAAAAAATGAATAACTAAAGCTCACAAAGAAATATTTAAAAAGTTTTAAATAAAAGTGAAGGGTAATTTTTGTAAACAAACAACTTGTTCTTAAAATTTATCAATATATATTATTTTGAATATAACAAACCAAACACTCAATAAGAAATAATCCCAGGACAACTTATCCCATCATAACTAATCCCAACATAACTTATCCCAACATAACTTATCCCATCATAACTCATATTCAAACCAAACGACCCCTTAGTACCTAAAATTAAAGAACATCTTGAAGATAACATGCAAGCAACTTACGCAACAACTCTCCTATCAATTTGTACACCTATTTGATCCTTCTTGGATAGCAAGGAAGCTCATTTTAAGGGCTAAAATGTGCCCCAAGTGGGAGCTTTGCTAGGTGCAAGTTTGGCACAATTCAGGTGCCTAAATTGGTCCAAAAGTGCACTGGTTTGGACCTCCTTCAAAGACATGTTCTTCATCTTTGGCCTCAATTTGGCCCACAAAAATAGCTAGAACTCTTGTGCAAAAGACCATCCTTGGCTTGAACTCTTCTCCCAAAACTAGACACTTATTTCTTTGCAATTGAAGCCTAATTAGCTTCGTTTTGAAGTTTCTTATTTGAGATCTTGTCATAGGCCTTCTAAGAGCTTCATCAAAGTTCTTTATTGTATTTATGCTTCTGTGGCTGCTATCAGCCTTCCTCTAGATACACTACCACATGTTTTAATGGAACTCTTTGATGAAATTCTTTTGTTGTTTCAACATATTGAATTTGTTGTGTAGTTGCTGCCTTTGTGGTTTCACCACTTTGAACCAAAACTTGTGTGATTGTGTTAGTTTCCAGCATGTCACAATTCCAGTCTTATTGTCTAGGCCTTCTTTTGTATCTGGTTTTCTAGAAGTATGAATTATAAATGGAGCTACAATCTCTGTCAGCCCTTATATTTTTACTAGATGCACAAATTGGAACGAGAAGCGACAATAGTTGTAAGACCATAAGTTATAAATGTCTAGATGATTTCAGAGAACGCAACTGGGCTTTGGCTGTTTAAGCCTCACTCGCCCTAGCCAAGCAACGCCAATGGTGAACTTCATATTCCCCCTTTCACATTTCTGCTCTCTTCCCGCTAAGTAGGATTCCCTCTCCTTTTCTCCTCGTGCATCGTTTTTCCTTTTCATTCACTCACCAGCACCTGCTTCTGATTTAAAGAAAACAGAAGTTCCCCTGTTCCTTGTGGGATGGGGTGGTACTCACCCACTTCCTTGAGTAGGGAAAAGAGATCTAGCAAGAGGTTCACAAGATTAATTTTATAGATTTGAATTTACAAACATTAAATGAAAGATGATGTATCATAAGAAAATGATGGCTTCTTTCCGTTCCTTGTATTTTATATGAGAAGTTATATAGACATCAACCATTCCCTATACACACTATCCCTATTCTTTTAAATATCTGTTATTTCGGTATCAACATTCTTGCATTGATCAGGTTTTCTGAAAGTGGGCAAGAGTATGAATGATATTGAAACTATATTCCAAAGTAGATTCTACTAGTAAGTAGCAGCCTGTAGTTATTGACCTAATAAATCCGACCTGACAGCTTAAAATTTGCCTTTATGCAACTAGTGATATGTGTGTTGACTATGTACCAAAAGAAAGATGTGTTGACTGCTGTATTTCGATGTACATGTACACTTGCGACTTATGAGCCAATGAAAATGAATATGAAAATGGAAGCTGAGAAAAGGAGTGAGAAACGTGATGTCGTATGTTCCCCTAGTTTTTTCCTCCCCCACTGTCATCACCCCTTCTGTTTCCCCCTCTATTATTTATGAATATTAGTACTTTTCTGATCTGAACGCTAATCCATACATCCTATGTTTCTTTGATGGCAATAGAGGTCGGTGAGGAACTGCTTCATCAGAGGATCGGTGGTGAGATACGTGCAGTTACCTCCGGATGGAGTTGACATAGAACTGCTTCATGATGCTACGAGGAGAGAAGCTCGGGGTGGCTAAATTCTAGAGTTCGAAATTGGTCTATTCACATTTCAGCGGATAAGTCAGCAGCAGTATACTGATTTTTCTTACTGGATGCATTTTGCGCGCAGTGATTTTCTTCATCATCTTAAAATTTAGTATGCAGGTGTTATGAATACCCATAATGTGAAAACTGTGGATATGAAATCTGTCTTTTGACAATTAAGAATGTTAAAAACTGAATTCAGTGTCCAATCCTTCGAAATTACTTTTTAAGGTTTGCTATTGTCTGCTACATTTTTTCCATTGTATTCACTCTAATTACTGCAGGACTGACATAATACTAAAAATTATAATGTGGAAGGAATTAATAACGCAAAATTGTTATCTCGTATTTAGTTCTTACACTACGTAAGAATTAGAATTATATTTTCGTAACAGAAATATCACTTATGGGACTTGTTTGTTCTATGCTACTAGGCAAGTCATTTTCCTCATCTTTAAAGAACTTGTTTTCTTAAAGAATTTTTTTTTTTGACCCAACGAACATAAATTCATATTTTTTTCAATTTGTCATGTGTATTAGTCCATGAATTTTTGAAAATATGATTGATCGTATATCTTTGACCCTAATTTTTTTGGGAACATCCGTAATAACCTAGTGAATGATATCCATAACTTCTACAGGACTTTCACCACTTTTTCTAAGCAATTAAGGATGACAAAACAGGAATTTAGGATTTTCTCAGTTTTGTGTGTATTAGTCGATGTATTTTTGGAAATATGCCTTCTACAGGATCCACGCTATCTTCATCATCGTTTAAGGGTCGCAAAAAAGGAATTCATAATTTTTTCAATTTTTCGTGTGCATTGTATTTGAAGCAATGCTTCTACACTAGAGATTAACAGGATAAAAACCTTGCTTGAATTTTAATTTCATCTATTTTTTTTTCCCCAGTCAAATGTCAGGTTCGAGTCTCGAATAGATCGTCGGGGTTGAGGTCGAGGTCGGGTGTCGGGATTGAATCCCAATTTGGAAGTCGGGTCTTGGATTAGATGTTGGCGTTGGGTCTCGATTCAGAATTTGGTAACTAAATCGAGAGTCGGGGTCATGTCGGATCCCAAGTTAGGTGTTAGTATTAGGTCCCGAGTCGAGAGTTAGGATCGGATCCTGGTTTTGAAGTCGGATGTCAAGTTGAATGTCGGGGTCGAGTCTCTGTTTGAAAGTTCGGTTCTGAATTGGGAATTGGGGTAAGGTTTCACATTGGATGTCGGTATTGGTTCTTAGATCGGGAGTCAAGGTCGGATCCTAGGTCGGGAGTGACGATGAGGTCCCATGTTAGGTGTCAGAATTGGGTCTCGAGTCAGGTGTTGGGGTAGGGTCCCAATTCAAAAATTGGATCCCACATTGGGTGTCAAGGTCGGGTCTTGGTTTAGAAGTTGATTCTTGGGCAATAGTTGAGGTCTCAGGCCGGATGTCAGGTTCGGGCCCTGCATCGATCGTCGGGGCAATGAGTCAAATCCCAATTCGGATATTGGGTCTCGGGTTGGGTGTTAGAGTTGAGTCTCGGTTTGAAAGTTGAGTCCCAAGTTGGTCGGGTCCTCGGACAAGAGTCGAGGTCGGATTCCAAATCGATCGTTGCGGTCGTGTCTAGGTTCAAATATCGAGGTTGGGCTAAAATCCTAGTTCAAATATTGGGTCCTAGATCGAGAGTTGGGTTCAAATACTAGGTCGGGTCCCTAATTGGGAGTCAAGAGTCGGGGTCAGGTCTTGGGTCGAGTCTCAGGGTTGGATCCAGGATCAATTGCCAGGGGCATGTCCTAGTTCAAGTATCGGGACCATGTCCTGTATCGGTTATCGAAGTTGGTTTCCAGGTCAGGGACTATTTTCCTAAAAAATATTTTCTATTCTCTAGAAAAAAATAAAAGATATTTTCTGGAAAATGTTTTTCATTCATCAACCAAAAACTAGAAAATATTTTTCACACACCAACCAAACATGAGAAAATAAGTTAGAAACCAACTTATTTTCTAAAAGCACATTTTCTAGGAAATCATTTTCCATGGAAAATTTTCCTTCATACCAAATACACAAGTCATCACTGCACGAACTAACTTTTGATATAACTAGTTCTCGAATACGTGCGTTGCACGTGTGTCCATGCCAATTAGTGTAAACCTTTTAAATCGGTATATGTAATATTAACAAATGTGTGTAATGAGAGAATTCTTCTTTTACATCCATATCTTATCGCTAATCCAACTTGTAGAAGATAAGTCAACTAGCTGAGAAGCCCTTGGAGTAAGGGCTAAAATTCATGAACATTTCCATCTCAAGTCGGAAAATGTAGGCTTTTGCTACTCTGCCTACTAGCCGACTTGAGATGAAAATGTTGACGAATTTTTATCCCCATTACTCCAAGGCCCTTCTTGTTCTGCTTGTTGAATTATCCTCTGCAAACATAATAGTTATGCTTCATTACAGGAAGAAAAGAGGTAAAAAAAATATCCGAAAATGGAAATTTTGCAAGAAGATCTCTTGGATATATGGAGATTGGATTTATGATCTAGTCCTACCCCACCTCTTACCTAGCAAGGCTGAGAGCTGATCTTTTAGTTTACAATTTATTATCTCCTTTATGCCAATGGATTCAATCCCACATATATCAAAAACTATTAGGGAGATTAAAATTGTGTCATACCTTCCAACAGTTAATGCATATTTGGTGTCAACAACTTTTTAAATTTGGAACTATATAATTATTTTTGGTTTAAGGTAATATATGTGAGAATTTTATAGAGAGAAATACAAAATACATCAATACATTATTTGTGGTGTAAAATATTCGACCATTTGCGTGACTATAAATGATTTAATTAAGGGTAAAAGGAATTTTAAAGTTAAATTATTTTCAATTATAGAAATGTAATATCCTAGATATTTACATTTATGTTTTTAAAAAAAAAAGGTATTCCTAGTTTATATAGGTCTTTTTTTTTTGGTTGTTTTTTACTGTAGGCATAACCTATTTATAAATTCAAAAATCATAGCTTCCAACGCTACAACGGCAAATTGATGAGGAGAACTACAATCTGTTTGGATCATTGTTACTCATTGTTTCATAATATATTGTATTGTATTGTACTCTATTGTAATGTATTATATGGTAGATACAATGTTTGGCTAGATTGTATTGTTTGTTGTTGTTTAATAACATTTTAATTGTTTGGTTTGATTGTATCCTACTGTATTGTAATTTATAAAATTACTAAAATATCCTTAATTATTCTAGGGTAGGAGGTTTGACTAGAATTAAATAATATAAGGTAAAGGGTAAAATAGTATTTTGAAATATTATGTAAAGATATAATTGGAAAAAGAAATTAAGTAACAATGGGAACACACCAAATCGGTTGTTCCATAAAATAGGGGTTTTCATTGTTATGTAACAACGAAATTTAACAGTACAATACAATACATTTTAAGTAACAATCAAAACAAACATTTTATAGGTATAGTAACGATGTAATACAATACAATGGTTAACAATAATCCAAACAGAGTGCTAATGGGAGAAAAGAATTTAGGACTAAATTTACTCAAAATCACAATGAAAGAATGTTGCAATTCACGTGGAAATTGCAGAAGCGAGACGAAGAGCTGATCAACAAGTTTTGCAGCAAAATTCGAGTAGAAAAACGGGGTTTTAAGGTATGGTTGCATAGTAATAATAAGGAGAATACTAGGAGACCTACCGTTGATATATTGTCCGAATGTCTCATTCATAAAATACTACGTTTTCTTAGTTTTAAAGAAGCAACATGGATGAGCATTCTCTCCAAAACATGGCTACAAGCCTGGTCGACTCTTTCCAATTTGAAATTCCGAGTTGAATATTCCAAATGTGATTTGAAAATAGTGGATGATATCATGAATAGATATAGGGACGGAAAAATCCCTATAGAAAAGTTTGAATTATTAGAGAAGGACCATCATTCGTTCTTTGATAATTTTCGTGAAGTTTTAGCTTTTCCTTTGATTAATGAGTGGCTTGACATTGCACTTACGAATGGTGTAAAAGATCTTGACCTTTACTTAACATCATATCCCTTGCCTATTTTATCAATCTTGGCAGTAAATTCTTTAAAGAGAATTGGTTATGAAGTGTTCGCCTGTTTCGTTATCTAGTGTTGCTGTGAATTGCAGTTCTTTAAGAAAGCTTTCTCTATATGCTTCAGACTCTACTTAATAGCTGTCCGTTGATTGAATCTTTCATCTTTGAGTATTGCTGGGGCTTGGAAACGTCTGAGCTGGTGAATCTTCAAAATATTAAGTCAGTTTACCTGAAGGTCTTGGAGATTCGGTATTGTGGAGGCTTATGGGAGATTGATGCTCCAAATTTAGTATCACTCGAGTACACCTGGAGTCAAATTCCTCAACTGAAAATTGAGTAATGACAACTGAAGCACTCAAAAATCACTCTTCAGTGCCACGACGATTTAAATGCTCGATGGTTTTGTAAGTTGAGGAAGTTTCTATCAAATTTGCCTACTTGGTCTGATGTTTGCATTGATTTTCACAAATTCAATGAGATCAACCTGAATAATTTGCAACTGGACCACATAGGTTCGACCCCCCAGCCAGACGTTTTAAATGTCTATTGTACACGGTTGGGAAGGGAGTATCCAATGTTTGTTGATGCTTTGCTATGGAGTTGTCATCCTAGGAGACTTAACCTGCAATCAACAAGAGAAAGGCTTACATTTCTCATTGATCATTTGATGTATATGAAGAATTCGAGAAGCAAAACCTTGGTATAGTCAATTAAAAGAAGTAAAAGCCTACGAATTTGATAGGAGGAAGAGAAAAGTGGGGATGGGGGCTACAAGGAACCTTCAAAAGTGGGATATATGTTGTATTTTATTAGATTGGTGATGCAGTTTATTCTATTAAAAATTGAAATTACACTTATTTTTTAACAAAGTTCTTTAATTTATATCAGACCCTTTTTCCTTGGTTGTTAGTAGGGTGATACAGATTGTATCAACGATAAGCAAGCTTTTATCTATATTAAAGAGTTGTGTCATAATTGCTACATTTGTTTCTATGATACAATGTCTTACTTTCTTAGCAAAAATAAAAAAAGGAGAGTTACTCACAAATTTTAATAATTTTTGTTATTCTTAAAAAGATTAATTTCACCACGATTCTCTGCTATATCTCAGGGATTGTATCCCAGATACAACTCTATCAC